TCAGAGGTAGATGAAATCCCCATTGTTCACGGTTACCCTCTGGTAAACTAACATAGCAATGGAAAATCACCATTTTTAATGGGAAAATCCACTATAAATGGCCATTTTCAATAGCTATGTTAAATTACCAGAGGGTAAATCCCATATTAAATCCCATTAAGTCCCATGGAATCCCCATTGAATCCGTGGTTCGATCCCTTGAATTCCTGAATCATGGTCAGGAAAAGGCGCCGAAAGCCCTGGAAAGCTTCATCCAGCAGGTCGGTCATAAAAAATGATCTCAATGGATGGGTTTTCACGGGAAAATCTTCACCGGAAAAATCTGGGTTTTCCCGTTCTCCCCATGAAATATCGAGGTTTCCTGCAACATTTCCCTTACACCAATCCATTCAATCTAGGATGTGAAAATCTCTGACAAATCCATGGGATTTGAACATCGGATTTGAACATCTAAGATGATGGGCCTAAAATCTAGATCTCTAGATCCAGTTTTATAGAAAATCAGATGGGGATTTTAGGCTCAAGTTTTCATAGATGTCCTTTTCCCATTGGTTGGTTGATTAATAGAGGGGATGAAGAAACCCCTTTAACAACAGGTAAATGATGATAGATGGTATACCAAACCGGCCCCTCTATTTTTACCAAAAGGACATGATTGCAAGTTTTGTTTTCCTCGGACTTTCATCCCCCAAAATCGAAGTCCATGAATCCCCAGCCGTGAAAAAATGCTTCATTGGATTCCCCGATCGAACTTTTCCCGGCTGGCTACCCGGCCTGGTAAACGTTGCCACATAACGAACTGGAAAGATCCACCATGCTATTTTCAGCTGGGTAAATCAACTAGAAATCGACTGGGCCATGGCTTCTATGTCGCTTTTTGTTAGTCATTTTACCAGAGGGTAAATCCCATTAGATCACCACTAAACCACCATAAAATCACCCATCTATACCATGGATTTTGTATGTCATAACCAGAGGGTAGGCTCCCCCAAAACCAGCCCCTTCCAGGTCACCGTGGCCTACGTGGAGTCGCGGCTCTTCATGGCCGAAGCCTCGGCGGATCCCAACGCCACCAACGACTGGGACGACCCCTTGGAGGATGAGGCCCTTTTAAGGGCCAAGGGGGGAGCCTACCATCTGGTTTAATATGGTTTTATAGGGATGATTTGCTGGGATAATGATGGGATAATACTGGGATATTGATGGATATACCCTCTGGTAAACATACAAAAAGCTATTGAACATGGCCATTTATAGTAGAGGGTCGCCATGAAACACTCTAAAAAATATATGGGGATGATGAACAAGTGTAAGAAATAGATGGGGATATTCATGCACGAAAACTAGGTTACGTTGATGTTTGGTGTGTGTTTGAAGATGGAGTATGGCCACAGAATATGAATTGCCACCAAAGTAAAAAAACATATGGGGAAGCTTTGTGGTTTTGAGTGTTTTTCCATCCATAAAAGATATGCTTTAGAGAACCCCTTCATACCATCCGGCAATCAAAGGTGGCCATGGAACATCCTCCATATTTTTCTCGAGGATTTTCTCGAGGATTTTCCATTCAACACCCTTTATAGAGGATGTTCCATTGCCATGTTTAGTTGCCCGATGAAACTGATCACGAGGAAACTCCGATATTCGATATTTCACGGGGAAAAGCGTGGTTTTCATGAAAAAATGGTGGGTGTATTATGTTGTGTAAAGGTTTCGAAATCGGAATCCCTGAAACATCCTTTGACCACGAATAGAAAGGGACTGGTGCAGTTTGGCTCAAGATGCTTTTGAAGGACCGAATAGTTAATAGTTCTGTGCGATGTTTCAAGTCAACGTAGCTCTAGCCAGTGGTCGCACTGAGACGCTTTCAATTTCGCAAACCTCCAAAGTTGAGGACTTGATGATCCTGGCGCAGAAGTCCTTCAAACTTGGCTTCTTGAGGTTTGTTACTGCAGGGCATTGCTTGATGAATTCGATGGAATCTCTTCAAACTGCCGCAGTTGATGCAGGAGACCAACTGACAGATCTGACAGCGATTGCGCTTCAAGCGAATGTAGCTGCAACACGAAACGCCTTTGCATTGTGGTGCTGTGGAGGCAACCGCATCGTTACATGGGGCCCATCAGATTTCGGTGGCGACAGCTCCAAAGTCCAGCATCATCTAAGAAGTGTACAACAAGTTCAGGCTACAGATGAAGCATTTGCTGCAATCCTGGCTGATGGATCAGTGGTGACATGGGGCGACCCAGATTTAGGCGGTGACAGCTCCAAAGTCCAAGATCAGCTTAGAACTGTGCAGGAGGTTCAAGCGGGGGGTGGTGCATTTGCTGCTATTCTCGCGGATAGATCAGTTGTTACTTGGGGCCATTTGGATTTCGGTGGGAATAGCTCTGAAGTTCAAAATCAGCTCAGAAATGTGGACCGAGTTCAAGCCACTTGGGGTGCATTTGCAGCCATCTTGGCAGATGGATCGGTCGTTACTTGGGGTCATCCAGGGTTTGGTGGTGACTCCTCTGAAGTCCAAGATCGGCTCATGAATGTGCAAGGGCTTCAGGCAACGCGAACAGCGTTCGCCGCCATCCTTGCAGATGGATCATTGGTGTCTTGGGGTGATCGAAAATTTGGTGGCGATAGCTCTAAAGTCCAGGAGGAGCTCAGGAGTGTAGAGCGGGTTCAGGCTACTACAAGAGCATTTGCTGCAATCCTGACAGATGGATCGGTGGTGACGTGGGGTGACCCAGATTTTGGTGGAGACAGCTCCAAAGTCCAGCATCATCTAAGAAGTGTGCAGCAGCTTCAGGCTTCAGGGGCTGCCTTTGCTGCAATCCTGGTGGATGGATCGGTAGTGACCTGGGGCAATGCACATTTCGGTGGTGACAGCTCTAAAGTCCAAGATCGACTCGTGAGTGTCGACCAGATTCAGGCAACAGACAGCGCATTTGCTGCAATTCTGACAGATGGATCGGTGGTGACATGGGGCAACCCAGATTTGGGCGGTGTCAGTTCCGACGTCCAACATAGACTCTTGACCGTAGAGGCAGTTCAGGCCACCTGGGGCGCATTTGCGGCCATCCTTGGAGATAGATCAGTTGTTACTTGGGGTCATCCAGGGTTTGGCGGCGACTCCTCTGATTTCCAAGATCGGCTCAGAAGTGTTGTGACACTTCAAGCCACCAACACAGCATTTGTTGCGATCCTGGCGGACGGATCGCTGGTGACATGGGGACATCCCTATGGAGGTGGTGACAGCTCCGAAGTTGCAAGCCAGGTCGCAGTTTTGTAGCAAAGTTTGTATACATTGGACGCGTCAAGCAAAATATAGCAACATACCATAGATTTCAGCAGAGCCGAAACAAGGCTCCGGATCCCTTCGCCATTTGCCAAAAAAAACCCATGCGATTGGGATCCAACCCGAACAGGACTGATCCTTTCCCTGTCCAGCTGTGACTGGGTGCTCTCACGGATTGCAAGGGGGCAAGCAGCTTCAATAATCCCTTCCCCCTACCCTCTGGTGAACTAACATAGCAATTGAAAATGGCCATTTATAGTGGATTTTCCCATTAAAAATGGTGATTTTCCATAGCTATGTTAAATTACCAGAGGGTAATATTAAATACCCCCATGTGGGCCCCCCCAAGGAACAGATTCAGATAAGGTTTCTGGACCGAATCCACTGCCTGATATTGTCGTGGGTGCTCATGTTATCCATTTGCACCTATTGATGTTGGGTGTATTCTCACTTTTGTTGATCTTGTTCACTATTTCCCTGGTTGTTTCTGCATTCTGCTGCTTTCCAGATACAAGTTATAAGTTGTAAATTGATATATGTTGATATAAATTGTAGGTTCATCATCTTCATCTCAACATCTCCAACATATTCCAAAATCATCTCAGAATTCATGTGGCCCGGCAGGTTCTTCGGGCGGAACAGCTGGAAGTGCTGTCCAACTTGGGTCGATGTAGGTACCAGGACCTCAGTCAATGTTGTCTTGAACTCCGTAAGAAAACCATGGGAGAATTCGATATTCCAAGTATTGAATGACACCACCCATTGAAAGATGCTTTGATGAAGTCTCGAACGGTTTGGTCATGAATTCTGTGAATGAAGCGCTATGCAGAGCTGTTTTGGACCTGTATCTGGCACTTTTTTGAGGACATTTGGTCTCAAAAAGGGCAAGCATCGGTCGTTTAAAAAGCCGCCATTCGCCATGGCAACCATGAACTTCCATGCAGAACTGCTGAACGGCCGTCGGATCGCTATCCCCATCCCTTTGGACATGACCATCAGAGAGTTGAAGGAAGAACTGAAGGTGTGGCAGTGGCGGCCGTTTTGGGGCTTGTTGTTTGTTTTTGGTGCGGAAAAGAAAGATAAACAAAATTGTTTTAGAAGGGTTTCGATAACTGTTATTTATATTGGATATATCTCCGGTTTGGGAACAGAGCTATAACTTGGGCCCCCCAGAACTTCCTGCAGTTTTTTCAGGGACTATATCAAAAGAAATGATTTGGGGTATCTTCAGATGGCATGTCATCAATACCTGGACCATCTTGGAGCAAAGTCCATGGGCCTGGCCGTCGCTTGGCACGCAGGATTTCCAGGGCTCGGCGGACGAGAAGATTCGAAAACTCTGCGCTGTGGAGAATTGGCGTTACTTTCAGTGATTTTTTGTGATTATGAAAGTAATACCATTGGAATAATGGTGATTATGGTGATATTCCAATAATTGGCGTTATTCCATTGGTATTCCATTATTACTTTATGACTATTGGAGGAGTCCCCCCCCTAATTATGGAATATCACCAGCTATAATTATGGAATACCAATGGAATATCAGTGTTTTTTTGTTCTTTCCCAAGGGAATCGTTTTTTTTTTTAGCGGGGTGGCTTAACTTAAGCAACTCCAAGGATATTCTCATTGATGGGGAAGCGTTGAACGATCTTGATGCAATAGTGTCAAAGATTCTCCCCACCTTCAGAGCGAATGTGCAGGCAGGGAGAACCAGGCCGAATATCCCACTAGCTATGTCTTTCTTAAGAATTCGATTCACATTATAGTTTGTGAATCATTCGGAAATTTGGTATGTACCTACTTGTATTGTAGTTATCCAGCAACCATTAATCCCTTTGTTTGTTGGGCATTCGTATGTCCATTCCAAAGTTTCACGTTCGCAAGTCGTGCTAAAGCCTCGAGCCACAGGCTGACTAGCCCAGTTTCTCAGACCACCTTGCTTAAGATGATGATCCCATTCAGTTGATTAAGTCTGATGAATTACCCTCTGGTAATTTGACATAGCTATTAAACATGGCCCATTTATAGTTGATTTACCTATTAAAAATGGTGATGTTCCATAGTTATGTTGGTTTACCAGAGGGTAATTTAACTATTATGCTCAAATCTGTAAGGGGGTTGAAATCACTAGCAACTCTATGAACATGCCACGCACCACCGCATGCAGGTCGCGTTCAGAATACCACCTCCACCCATTCTGTGTTCCATGAAGGAGCTCGCGGGTTGCAATGTGGAGGACTTGCGTTACGTAGGGGTCCCCTACCCCGAAAGAGAGATTCCGCCCCATGGCTTTGCAGGTTGCCATGCCCTGTTTCTTGTTGATATTGCGGACTCGGTGACTCGACTTGGGCCCTCAGCCTTTGCTGGCTGCAGCTCTTTAAGAAGTTTGGCAATCCCCGACACTGTGACTGAAATCGGACAGGGCACGTTTGATGGCTGCAGTTCCTTAGCGGACCTGAGCATTCCAAGGGGTTTGAGAAGCATTGGAAGGAGGACCTTTATTGGCTGCACCTCTTTGACAAAACTTGCCATCCCCCCCTCAGTGACAGAAATCGGGGAGTCCGCATTTGCGGGTTGCAGCTCTTTGAGGAGCCTGAACCTCCCAGAGTCTGTGATGAGCATTGGGCGTAATGCCTTTGCAGGTTGCCGCTCTTTGTCCAGTTTGGACATCCCAAACGGTGTGACTGAAATTTGGGATGGAACCTTTGATGGTTGCGGCTCCCTGATGACTCTAAGCATACCTGCATCTGTGACCCAAATTGGTCAAGGCGCATTTGTTGGCTGCAGCTCTTTGACAAGTTTGACCATCCCAGAGTCTGTGACATGCATAAAGGATGGCGCCTTTGACGGCTGCAGCTCTTTGAGGAGTTTGACATTCCTTCCGGGTCTGCTGTCTATGGGAAAGTATGCCTTTGCTGGCTGCAGCTCTTTGACAAGGTTGGACATCCCCAACTCAGTGACAGAAATCGGAGACGGTGCTTTTGATGGCTGCAGTTCTTTGACAAGTTTGACCATCCCTGAGACAGTGAGGAAAATTGGGCCGTGTGCCTTTGATGGTTGTATTTCTTTGACAAATCTGCAGCTTCCAAAATCTTTTGGAGGTGCAGGCGCCTCGCAAAATGACAGAAACCACGGATGCGCGAGTGTTCTAGCCAAGAGACGTCGCACATGATGATTTTCTTTGACAAAAGTGGAAGATGCAGCATGGGAATGGGTTGGGAATGGGATGCATCATGTTACATCCAGACCCCCTAAAGTTGGATGATTGCTTTGGCATTGCATGGATGGCATTTTATCTGTTGTTCTTTCTTTTCTTTACAGCTTCAATAGTTCTGTTGTGCGAGAACTCTCTGGAGCTCGGTGCGGCTGCCATTCCTGCCATATCCTGCCATGACAGATGCTGGCAAACTTGAAGCTGGCAACTGCAAATCCCCATTTTGGCCCATTTTCGTTGATGCTTTCTTCAGAAGAACTTATGGTTTCCCGTTGCGTGCACAATTTGTCCATGCTATCCGCCCCTATCCACCGACTTGGCATATGATGATGTGGATGACTGGGATTTTGGGGCTAGGGTACACCTCAGAAAGATGGGAAGACAACTTCGTTTTAACTGCAAGAATGATGCTTAAATGGTGGCAAAAGAAAACTAAGGATGACTAATTTTGTGAATTGTTTCTACCCTGAATATCCAAATTGGATATCGCATGGTTTTTTTGGGTATGAAATTGGAGATTCCCGAAGATTCCGAATTTAGGGAACTGATCTAGCTGTGGTAACTAAGCATCTTACACTTCCCGGGCTCATCAACCAACTTTTCCAGGACACTGCTCAGCACATCATGAAGCATTTTGAGGAAACTTCCAGGCACGGACTGCCATGGTGACTGCCAATGGTCAGGCTTAGGAAGGCCTCGGATTACTGAAAAGAAATCATTGGCATCTTTTTTTATTGCCCAATCATTTCTTTTTCTTTTTTCATCTGTGCTTTTCGATTTTGGCTCCCACTCAGCTCGGTGTTTAAGCTTCCCAGGCTTGGACAGCAGAACCTGATTCCTCAGCAAGTCTTCGAAAAGAAGATGACGTCAGATGCTTACCGTGGTTACCCCCCAATCCGATGTTTGGAGGAGATCTGTTGGGAATCCTGGGGTTACCTTGGAAACGGATGGAAATGGGGCCTTATTTGAGTTGAGTCTTTCGGGTATCCTATAATATCCTCAAAAAAGTTGGGCCGTGCTTCACCAGATCATCGATTTCCCCCCATTAGAAGGTGCATTTTTTTCGATTTTTTGGGGAAACATACCACAAAATGATGGGGGAAAATGATGATTACACATTCAAAAAGATGCCTTTGACGAGTTGTTGACGAGCTCGCTGGCCGAGGTGGCTCGTCTACATGATGGGTGCGCTGGTGGGTGGCCATGCATCAGCCAAGGTGCAGTGAGTCGAGGTAGAGTAGTCATGAGTCAGTCATGAGTCAGTCATGAACGATAGTAGTATATGGGTATGGGTCAATACCTATTAATACCATTTTTAGGGGGATGAACATCCATTTACCAGCTATTTTGATGTTCACTAGGTACCAGGGTTTTGACACACTGCCATATAAGTATATAGTAATAATACTATAATGAGACGTAAAAATCTGAAAACATGAATTATGCAATTAATAGTATCTAAAATCATAGTGATAATGCTTGTGATCATGATGACAATAAGACACGCATAATCATTATAATTACAACAGACATGGTAGGAAACCATCACAACAAACATGGTAGGAAGCCACTCTTCGTGACGGTTCATATTGTCAGAGCCCCCCGGCAGATGTTGGTCGACTCCGGTTTTGCACCGAACTTCAAGCGTTCGCTCGCAACACAGGGTAGTTAAGTTGTCAAGCAATGATGAACATCATTTTTAATGTGGGGGATTGTGGTGGTTGTGGTTGGGTTGGGGTGTAGAGTTTCGGGTTTCCCCAGGGTTGAGAACTTCAAAGTTTCGACACTGAGTTTTCGCGCACGGTGATTTTGTATCTAAAGTACACATGTTTCAGAAGCACGTGCATAGACTTGTCTCCACAACACGACAAATGTCAAGCTGATATGCTCATCCAACGTACCCTCCAGTAAGTTTTCACATTGATGTGGAAGAGAAATTCAGAAAACCAGAAATATGTCATGCTAGTAAAGCACTGCCATAAACCAGTCTAATATTTTGATGGTTGAACTTGCCATAAAAATGGGGTCCAGTCAGACTGGGGATCCATGTGGATTCGACAAACATGAAGGATGATTTTCCAATGGAGCCATGATTCTCCAGAGCTTTCCTAAGTCTCTCAGAGAAAACCCCCAGTTCTCCATTTAAGGGACTGGGATTTTCCATGAAATAAACCATCTACCCGGCCTGGTAAACGTTTACATTATAACAATGGAACATCACAAGGGGTAAATCAATTATTTCGACTGGGCCATGGCTTCAATAGCTTTTTGTATGTTTACCAGAGGGTAAATCCCCCCTGGCCCATAGAAATAGATGGTTTACCTATGTTTACCTGTATTAAAAATATGGTGGATCTTTCTAGAGCGATTTTGACATAACCAGAGGGTAACTATTGGGGATCACCCATTTATGGAACCATCCTGTAACCTGGCAGACCTGGAATCCTGGAAGGCCAACCGGACAGACACAGACTGCGCGCCGACGCACGTGGTGAATGGTTCGGCCGGCGATTTTTTTTTTTGCAGACCCAAAAATGGCGCCAGGGCGCCATGTTTTCCACGACATGGTGGTGAAAGAATGGGAATATCAATGAATACCCGGCCTGGTAAACATACAAAAAGCTATTGAACATGACCATTTATAGTGAGTTTTCCCATTAATAGCATGGTGATTTTCCATATAGTTATGTAAACGTTTGCCAGAGGGTAATGGGAGACATGGGTTTGCCTGAATTTTTAGAGGATTTGAATGGTACTCTCCAAGATCTGAGGGCAATTTTGATAGGGAAAACGAGGTCTTTTCCCTCAAAAACATCAGCCAAACCCCGGGGCCACGGCCAGGTGAGTTGGCCGGACGGATTTTCCGCTTGGTGAACCTCACCGTGGGGGTCGCCCAGAAGTTCGCCAGCAGCTAGCCCCAAGCATTGGAATCAGGTACTACAAAGCACCAAAAATCAGAAAAACATGGTGTGCAGTGCTACGGAAATTCCTGATTCTTGAGTATTCTTGAAGTCTTGAATCATATATAATCATACTAAACGAATTGAGCTCGTGACTCCTTTGTGATTTGAACCCACTGCAACAGTAACGACAATTTGACCCCCAAGCATGGAAGGTTTGAGTTTGAACATGCTGAGACTGTTGATTGAATCCCATGGAGAAGCCAGATCGCGGGAGAGATCCGCGGAAAACACACGTCGGTGCCATGAAATTACGTGGAGACAGTCGCGTGCGCCCAGTTTCAAAAGTTTTTTTTCGAGTATTCCATCAGTAGGGAATCAAGAGTTGTGCTTGCTGGAAACGCAGAGACTGACCGGCTCCATTCTTCCTCTGAGGTTCAGCAAAAGCAAACCTGCGAGGGATTAGAGATTGCGTGCCTCGACTGGACCTTGGGACTCTGGTGACGCCAGCTGATCTTCAGATGCAGGAATTTCACCCAAGTTGGACTTGCAAAAATGAGACATCCTGGGTATCTATTTACTTCTTGGGTGAATACCATACATATTTATGTATACGTATATAAATACCATAAATACCATAAAATCATAAAATACCATTAATATACCATAAGTGTAAGAATCTCATTTATGTAAGTACACAATTCAGTACACTAGCCGCTAAGCGCCTCAAGAGACCTGGGGCCGGGTTGACACGGCGAGCGTTTTGCAGCCCTGGCTGCGAGGTACTTGTACTTCTTGGAGCAGTTCCGAAAGTTGTATATCGGTGAGCACGCGAAGCAGGTGGTACAGCAGCAGGCGCCGAGCCATCTCAATGGGCTTTGATGGTGAGATCCAAACAGGGTCTTTCTTGGTAATGTCCCCACTCCCATGATCCCTAGGTTGTATCATGTTGTATCATCCGGAATCCGAATGATATCCAAGTCCACCCCAAGAATTCACAATCAATTCCCATTCTATTCTATTTGGCTCTATCCCCACACTTTCTGGCTGTATAATAGCATTTTCAGAAGTGATACCGCACTTTTCGTTGCTTTTATGCACGTATGGCAGTATGGTTGATCCGCATCGTTGTTCGTGAACGAACGACTTGTCCCCTCTCTGGATGACAGTTTGGGCAGGTGAATGAGCGCCTGGCTACGGTGCTGGGTCTGGAAGATGAGAACGCGGTGGGGACCCCCTGGCCATGGGAGTTGGTCTTCTGAATTCTGTTGCTTTTAGTCTTTTCTCGTTAAGATTCTTGCGGATCATGACTGGCTCATCGGCCTGCCCATGCATCTCCGGGTCCGTTAGGTGCTGGGTCTTCTCATCAACAAGATTGGTGTGGCGCTTAGACAACGTGACTCGAGGCACCTGGTGGTCTTGATGAAATCGGCTCCCAATGGATTTGAAACCTGTCTGCCAAGCCTCTAAGGAAACAACCTCCAGCAGAGATATCAGATCGAGTCAGTGGTCAAGAAGACACTGGTGTGGCTGGGGTGGGGTTTTCGTGACCGAAAATGACCTACCCATGTTGATTTCATTTGTGGCGTCAAGTTGGAACATGGTGGAACCCCATGTGGGAACACACCAACAGTGGCACCTTTCTGCAGAGTCTAATGTCTGTGAAATCACCAAGTCATCGGGCTGCACATTGGGCTTCTGGGCGGACTCGGACGTCCAGCCTGTTGACTAAACCCTGACTAAAAATGTAAGGCTCTGCGTTGAGGATCTGAGTATTACCTGAGTATAGCATGTTTTATTAGTTGTTGAACGCAGAAACGACCTGACATATCCTGCAAAACAATCTTAAGATGCATCTTTTCAAGATGATGAACTTCCCAGAATATACCAAATTCGTCTGTTGGTTTCAGGCGCTTTTCCATGAGCTTGCTGCTGGCATCAACATCGCTGGGAGCCTGGAGCTGGTCCATTTTTTGTGGAAAACCCACGTTTCCCTAGGAAAACCATCTAGAAAGAGTGGATTTTCCATATCTTGATTTACCCCAGGTTATCGTTGTTTTTAATGGTGTTCTTTTTTTGTTTTGTGAAGATTCGTGTCATCAAGTGTTGAGACCTGGGAAGTCTGAGATAAAGCTAAGCGCGCTATGTTGGATGTTTGGGATGCTTTCGATATCGAGTGTTTTTTTCGGCCAACATTCCCGCTTCGGAAATGGGGATCACGACAGCCACATTAATATCTTGGTTGGAGATGTTTGGAATGCCGCAATGCCCATTATGAACGGAACGTTCATCCGGTCCATCCAGTCCGAATATCCGTCTATCTCTTGGTCGAATTCCTGAAATCCGATTGATTGGTCAATATGAGCCAATATCATCACTAGTGGTCAGTTCAAATCATTACCCCCGCTTAAAATCCCCAATTTATAGTTAAAATCCCCAATTTATAGATGACAAAGATTTTCTGCCTCCATTTTTTTCGGGGGTGTCCCGGCTGGCCATGTCCGATTAGGTGGAGGGTAGGATGCATGGGGCATGAATCCTCAACCCTGTGTCATCCGCCTGACGGAGGTTCATACATCAGATCGCTCTCCGCACCTGATTGTGTGCGGCCGACTGCTGCTGAAGAACGAAATGGTGAAGTGCGCCGGAAATCAAAACCTCCGTCCAATCTGCGGGGAAACCATGATCACAGGTCGAACTTGGGATGTCGAATCAATCAACATGGAGAGTTCAATGAAGTTCTGTGGCTATGAGTCAAAATCCTGGTAGAACACCCCAAATTGATGGAAAAACCATAGGTCCGTAGATTCCTCATGATTCCTCCCCCTTCCGAGTTGAATGGATGCCAAGTTCCAACAAACAGTTACTGGTTGTCAGGTACATTCTGAGCAATCACGCCTCTCCGGAGTTCGGATTCCTGCGCCTTGGCCGTCAAAGGTGACCCAGGTGACCCTGGGATACCCTGGGCTGCCAGCGATTTTCGGGAGGTTTCTCTGGAGAAATAAATATCATAAATATATATAAATATATATAACATACATAAATGTGTTTATTGATTTCGGGAAAGATTATTTGGGGAAGACAGCTATTGATAAATTTAAGATAAAGTCGTCTTAATGCCACAAACTGAAGAACCTCTAAGGCCTTGAGTGGTTGGTTTTGGTTGGCCCAACAGATGGATGAATGTCTGCCACTGGAAGTCAGCTCGTCCTGAGGACTTACAGCTTGCAATACGGGAAGTGCCGCGACGGGGGGCTGCAAGCCTGTCCTGAGAGCGACAAGCATCGATCATGACATGCTTCAAGAAAGCTTCAAGAAATGTGTGCATCATTATAGAATATTATCTGGGTAAATTATAACGACCTCACTGCGACCTCACTGGAATTATGGTTAGTAATCGGAATTATCCCAGAGAAGCCTTATTTCAGGTTAGTGAATTATTGTAATTTACCCAGATATTATGAATATTCAATATTATAGAATATTATAGATTTGGGCCAAAAGCTCCAGATGCAATAGGCCTTTCCTGCATAAACCCCAATGCCCCAGTGGGTGGTGTGATCCCAGTGTTTCGGGACAAATTGTTGTGTGGTTTGTTGGGTGACATTTCCGAGTTAGAACAGCCCATAAGTAGCGGGTTCGGGGTTGAGTATATTTGAGTAGAGGGCCAGTGGTTCTTGGCCTATTCTATTTAATGGGTTCGATTTTATTCCAGGACGCACAAATCGTTGAACATCTGTCTTAAATATACGTAGGTGAGCCATGTAAGATACCTTTGTCGATTGGTTGATTTAGGGGAGTGTGTTACAAAGGGGTTGATCGGGGGTGATCCTAAGCCATAATTAATAGAGCCTTAATAGGGATACCAGTTTACCAAGCCATTGCTGATGGGAAAACAAGGTCTTCTTCATATCTCATTTGGTTCAAGTTATAGATGAAGGTGTCTCCGGCTGAAGATATTCCCCAAGACCGGTACAATCATCAAGAACCATGTAGCTACAGAACTATGGGCAGAACCAAACAGGGCAGACCACCAGACCTACCGTTGCCTGGGCAGTAGCACCAGACTTGGAGGTACAGAACTATGTACTATCACACTCTGGGCAAGCTGCTCTTTATGGACATCAGAGACAACAAGGAGGTGCGTTGGAAACTGCTGTTGGTGATATCAGTGATATCAGTGATATCAGTGATATCCAATTCTAATCTCCCAATAAGTGCCACTATGGTAACCTCCGAAAAGATAGGAACGTAATTTATCACTATTTTAGTTGGACATGGTTCTTGACACAAAATCATTTTTTTAATGATCCATAATCATTAGTAATAGTCATCCCATTCCCCCCATTCTCATCCATTCCCTACTAAGCACCAATAAGTTTTTGGTGGTTACTAAAAGTTTTCAATACAGATCTCCTGCCATTGTCTGCCGGACAGGCCTTTGAAAAGTTCATGGAGCCGCAAGGCTTCCTGCAGGGCACCGGGGGGGGTGTTGCGCATGGAAAGGAAAACCATCCAGCGGAAAAAATGGGGAGTTTCCCAGCTAAAAAGGTGGTTTGTCACTGGAATCTACCTAACCAAACACACGATTAATGTTTAGGACCAGGCATCAAGCTATATCACCAGGAAAAAGGTAGTAATTTTGCATGATATTGCATGATACAGCATATGAGAGAGACTGGGGGCTGGTTTCACATCTTCTTTTGTTGTTTTGATCTTCGATATCCGTACCATCTGGTTATTTAACATAGCCATGGTATAGATGGCCCATAGAAATAGATGGTTTACCTGGCTTTACCTATTAAAAATGGTGGATCTTTCCATGGCTATGTTAGTCTCTGTTAGTCATAACCAGATGGTATAATATACTGTACAGACTATTTCCCCAGCCCGACCCATGGAGACAAATCCTATGGTTGCCCAATAGACCTTGGAGACAAATTGCATGGGGGTCTTTGGCTCCTCGATTTTTGACCGTTGATGAGGAGGTTTGACCCAGCATCATGTCATCATCTTCTGTCATGACATTTTCATGACCAAATATTCCCCTATATTTTACTTTCATGTTTTCCTTCACGTTATCAACACCTATAAGAAGACCAGTCGATTTAATTCTTCGATGATTGCCATCCATTTATAGATGATTTTCCCGACTAGAAACCTCCGTTAAGCCATGATTGATTAACGGAGGGTAGATCATTATAATTATAAGTATATAAATAATTTCACTTATCATCATTAATCACGATATTAAAGCCATTAAGTCACGATTTCTTGATGCTTAAAATCACTATTCATCCATAAAAACCAAACATTATTAACCATTGAGGGTAAACACCATATAAAGACCCTAGAAACATCTCTATTTTGGTTGGTAAAAACCGCCACTAATCCATATTAAAAACAATAGAAAAACCATGGGTTTTCCAGGGAAACTATCTAAAAAGCATTACAACAACATTTTTGTTGGTTAACATCTCCATTTATCCATGAAAAACCATATTGAAAACGATAGAAACCGCCTCAGTTTTCGGTGGGCCGATTCGATTTCCGCCAGGTCTGATTCTCACGCAACTCTGGCAGCAGAGCTGCCAAAATCCACAGTTGCTACGACAGGCGGATCCTGGGTTGAACAGGAAATGGATGGTATAAGCAAAACTGGTTGGTGGTTTGGACCATTTTTTATTTTCCATATTTTTCCATAATATATGGGATGTCATCCTTCCCATTGACTTTCATATTTTTCAGAGGGGTAGGTCAACCACCAACCAGAATAACATAGCCAAAACATCCCTTGGGAACAGCACAGAGTCAAGACATCAGAGAATTCCGGAATAGGTTCAAGGACAAAATGGCAGGACCCCCCTGTAGGGGCTTAAAAAAAAACTATGCTTTTTGATGAAGATCCCAAGCAGATTCCGAGAAGATACGATTGATGGTAAAACCCCAATCTTCAAAACAATCAACAATGGTTTGATGGTTAAAATCTCTATATCTTGGATGCCTAAAACCAGGGGCAAACCCAAGGCTAGGGAAACCCGCCCTATCGCAGGACCATGTGAAACCAGCCTTGATCGGCTTGTGTCGCGACCTGCGCGGTATCGGTGCGGGGGCTTGGTGGTGAGTAAACTCCACATGGAACTGTTACCAGAGGGTAATAACCATATAATCAACTGCCTATTTATGGATGTCAATCATATGATATATAATATCATCATATAACCATATAATCAACTGGGCATATAACTGGTTGGTGGTTTGGAACATGAATTTTATTTTCCATTTCATACATGGGATGTCATCCGAAACCCATTGACAAACTCCATGATTTGTCAAGATGGGTAGGTATACCACCAACCAGTTATCATATTTTTTTTTCGAATCAAACGATGGAAAGCCCCATCAGCCCCATCCCTTTTTAATTCATGGTTGTGCTATCAATGTTGGGAAATCCCTGTGGCCGGCCATGGTGCCATGGGTGGATTTTCCAGGCATGTTCGATGAGACCGGAGGGCAATCAATGAGAACTACGACGAGTAGCCTCTGGTTATGTCAAAATAGCTATTGAAAATGGCCATTTTTAATGGGAAAACTCACTATAAATGGCCATTTTTAATGGTAATGACTAACATAGCTATTGAACATGACCATTTATAGTGGATTTTCCCATTAAACATGGTGATTTTCCATAGTTATGTAAACGTTTACCAGAGGGTAATCACGAGATTTTGGCATGCCCTATTTTCAGACAACACAGTTTCTCTATAGTTTCTTTTTGCACTTGCATGTTCATGCGCAAGCGACGTTTTCTTATTGGGTTTGAACATTTCGTTTAAGTTGGTGTGATTCTATTTGGCAGGTGGGTTGGTGTACTTTTCCCAGCTGCACAGATGTGCTTTTGGCCATAACCATTTTGCCGTCACCCATACAGGTGCAAGCAATGCGATGCTTGCAGGTTTTGATCGGTTTCCTTAGGGTTAGGTATGGCTGAATATGGTAAATCTAACCCTGGAAATATTGTCAACATCTATTATTAATATCTATTGTAAAGATTAACATAACATGATGGAATTATATAATAGGTATTAGGCAAAATAATGCCATTACCTAACTTACATAATTCCATTATTGACCATACTTATGAGTTTTATGGCTGAAATTGGTCAACAACACACCAATCATCGACGCTTCAGGACTAGTTGGAGGACAACGGTCAACAAGCACCGTTCAACTGGGCTATTCTCTGCTAAACGTTCACAGGTTGCGAAGTGGAAAGATCCACCATTTTTAAGAGGTAAATCAATTGTGGATCATGTTAGCTGTTAAATGACCCTCTGGGGTATCCCATTCAAAAAACTCCATGGAAGGCCTAGTTACTGGTTTGGGTTCCACTGGTATTCTGATCGCTCAGGCTTAGCCTGTACCAGCTGCGAGTCGATACCTCAGCACGGCCAAGTTTCTAGGGAAACTACGCAAGTTTTTGAACCAAAAAAAACTACCGTAGCATTTATAAGGCCTATGGCTTTGGCAATTTGGGCTGTGGGGAATATCCCCACAAAATATGGGAAGATTCTGACGTTTTCCGAGATTTTAACCCACCCAAATGGGCATTTGACCAACCAATTTTGGTCAATCGGATGTACCACGAAAATGGGGAGTTAACTTTTTCGGAAACCATGGGAATTTTTGGTGATTTAACGATAGGAAAATGACATCTATGCGGATTTAAACAAACCAAAAAAATATGTTGGGTGTGTCTGAAAATGGAGTATACCCCTGACTGGCAGCCAGTGAGTTGTTGTTTTTTTTGGATCTGCCAGTTGATGGAAACTGGAAATCCCTCCGTTTCATGACAACGGAGGGCACTACCCTCTGGTAATGACTAACATAGCTATTGAAAATGGCCCAGTCGAAATAGTGGATTTACCCAGCTCAATAGCATGGTGGATCTTTCCAGTCCGTTATGTGGCTACGTTTACCAGGCCAGGTATCAAAACAGGGCTGCACAAATGCCACATATGTTGTGGGTTTTCTGACCAAGTGGGACAATCGCTATTGATTCCCCCAAAGCTCAGAACATGTGCCTGAAAATGGGGGACTAAAGAGTCCCACAATTGTCATGGATCAGAAACTGGTGATTTTTATCCATTTTTATCTATTTTTGGGTACCCATAATTTTCCGACACTTGCGATACTCATCTTATTTTATCTTATCTTTGTCACAGTTTGAGAGGCACATTTCGAACTGGAACTCTTCATCCTGGGTGATTCTCCAGGTCGAATGGATCATCGGAATATTTCATGGATGATAGATGGCTAAGTGGATCATTTCATGATTTCAATGACTGTCAGTGGAACATCATATGAGTTATATGTATATATATATGTATATGATATATATATATATCATATATATGATATATATATATATATATATATCATATATATATATATATATATATCACACACACATATATATATATCATATCATATCATATCATATCATATCATATCATATATATGTATATAAGTAACCATGATTTTTACATCATTGATCATTTAGCATCACATTTTCCCACTGATAATTTGAGTTTTGGACCTTTGACTTCCCCCGAAGTGCTGCGCCCTCCGTCCGCGGATTTGAGGCCATACTCGATGCTCTTTGATTGGCTGGTGGACAACCCCAAGAACCCCTCGATCAATCGAGTGCCTGGGCTGATGCCATGGTCAAAACTCATGATCCCCAAATGTTCTATGTATGCCAACATTTACCCCCCAGATGTGACCCAGTTTTGGTAAATATTCCAGCACCATGGAGCATATGGGTATAGCAATGGTCATCCATCCCATATAATCATAAATAATATTATAGTATGATCTGATATGAATCCAGATAGGGTTGATGGGTCGATGAGCGTCCCCTTGGGGACTGAGTAATTCACCATCCGTTTTTTTCCCACGGCCCATTTTTTGGAGGATGTTTTCGAAGATCATCCCGAATCGATATCTCACCGGTGATGTTTTCGAAGGGAGCCGAGCTGTGGAGGCTCACCATAGTTCCACCATTTACCCTCTGGTTATTTAACATACAATGTGGGGCCCCCCAGTTATAAGATGGTTTATAAGCCCCATTAACTATAGTTTTTGGTACCATAAACCATAGTTATTGGAGTTATAAACCAACTTAGCTATCTAGGGGGCCCCACTTTGTAGCCATGGAAAATCACCATTTTTAATAGGTAAACCATCTATAAATGAACCATCTATACCATGGCTATGTTAAATAACCAGAGGGTAAATGGGAGCCAAGGAGCTACAATCGCTTCCCTTCACCACGTGATGATGATTTCCAGCCAGCTATGAATAATCATGGTTACGATGACCTTTTTGGGAGCCCAGGAATGGTTTTATGCCAATGCCAAGCTCCAATTTTGGATGGATAGATATGGGAGATCAATATTTAAGGCTCAGACCACCACGACGATGGCGACGATTTTTTAGTACCCAATTTTAGGAGCATCTAATGTTGATCCATATGGATAGTGCAACCCTTTTCCGGGTCATTGGGGATGATTTACCAGGCTCCTCAGCATCAGGACTTGGCATAGTTGGCATGATTTTTTGGCTTTAAGTTCACCTGGCAATCTTCGGTTTACACCTTCACCATCCACGTGGGGTGTCCTAAAATCATGGATGGTGGATGGTGTATATATCTACACAATAGATGTCACTAAAGACGTTATATACACCATCCATCACCATTCATAGAATTGGATGATGGGACAATTTTCACCGGAAAACCCTAATTCAATTTGATGGTAATTTTCCCATGGTTTCCGGTTTTCAGATTTTCCCGTGAAAACCACTCCAGTGAGGTGAATCTCTTCTCTCGAGCGCTGGATGCCTGGTGGGATGATCCAGAGGCATGGGAGGGTCCCCATCCACTGGTACCCGCTGGTTATGTCAAAATAGCTATTGAAAATGACCATTTATAGTGAGTTTTCCCATAAAAAATTGTGATTTTCCATAGTTATGTAAACGTTTACCAGAGGGTAAACCATCATTTTCATGGGTAAAAACAAGAGTTTGCGATGAAAAACCATCACTTTTGATGGGTAAAACTGGTAAAACTGAAATACCTGTTTCAAGGGATTTCAAACACGTGTTAAATTACCAGAGAGTAATCCGATTACGAAGGACAAGTCAATCCATGTTATTTTTTTCATACAGATTGGAGGTCGGAGGTTTGATTTTTGAGGCGAGGTCACCTCCAGCAGTGTTTGCTGCAGGTGACAACGCCTTTGTTGAAGTTCATGGCTGAATTCGTCCACAACAAGGTGCGGCCGAACCCGGCTGGTTGATGAGCTTGAACTTATTTTTAGTTTTCAAGATCTGTTTGGATAAATCCAAATGACCAAACAGATCATATTGGTTGGTTCTTGTTTGGCATCCAGCCATTCATCTGGGATTGATCGAATTCCCTCATTTCTCTACTTCGAATCTGGCCAGGGATGAGGACTTTCTCCCATCCCAGGCTCAGCGAATCACCTTCGACCAGTCCTCGCCCAACGGCTGGAAGCTCGAGCTGGTCATCCCGTGAAGTCAAGGCTGTCCAAAAAGTCAGGGATGGCAATCCATGAGATACCCTCTGGTGAACTAACAGTTTGCTATTGAAAATGGCCATTTATAGTGGATTTTCCCATTAAAAGTGGTGATTTTCCATTGCAAACTGTTAGTTCACCAGAGGGTAATAAAGGGGGCTTGGCTAGAATCCCACTTTTGGATACTTTTTGTAGAATTTTACCTTTTGGATGGTGGGATGATCAGCCCCACATAGACCATGGCACTTTTGAGAGAATTTGCAGGGAAGGAAACGATGGGAAACGATGGGAAATGATATGCCAAACCGATCGTTTTTTCCCCAAAGCACGTGCTTGGGCCTGGGCCAGTTGGTGGTTGAAGTAGTCTTTGTTTCCACCTATTTGGGCGTTTCCACTTCAATTGCGAATCTAAAACTCGTCCAAATACCAAATGGAACCATGAATCATGGCAGCCATGGCGTGATCCCAGCTATCATTGGGTTGGTTTAAGCGAAAATCTAGAGGACACCAGCTTTTTTTTAAGCTCCAAAATAGAGGGGGTTCTTGCAGATTTGCCCCGAAACTACATCACAATTTTCCTTCGAATTGAGGCCATCAACCCCCAAATCGCTGCTGAGGCATTCTTCTTTTCAGAGAAGCCTCCGCCATTCTGGTGACCTATGGTACCAGAATCCTGCAGCGCACGCAGTGGGATCCCCATTGCCATCCCGTTTTGGGATCATGGGGTTGGTGTTGAGTTCGATACCCCAAGTTTGAAGCTTCATGCTTGGGCTTCTTGGATTTACCACACCCCGAGCCTTTGATCAACGTGGCTGCAAGGTTCCGTGACGTCTATGTGGAGAAGTACAAAGGCATTGGGGTCTGTTCGGGGCCTCAACTTGGATCAACTCTGAGGCTTTTCACCAAAATATGGGGGATTTCACCAACACAATTTGGTTATAGAATGGGAATGAATGGGATGGATAACCACTACTCATATTGGGTGTGTCTGAAAATGGGGGTTATATCATGTTATATCCCCAATAGCCATGGCTATTGTGGAAGAGAATGATCAGCCATTGGATTTGGAGGTACCTTATTTTTCAGACCCAGGTGACCAAAAACATCATGAACTCTCGCAGAATCCCATCGAATCCGACTCCACCATCCATCCCGAATAACTCCTTTCACCTGCATTTTCATCCATTTTCATCCATTTTCGAGTTTCAAGATGACCACATGGTGGTTTATTAGTTTTGGAGCACAACTCGTTTAACTAGTTTGAGGTTTTTCCCGGACTGCACCAACAATCTGAGGCCTCGACATGTTCTCTCATGCGCTCCACGGGTGTAGAACTCAGCTATTTTCTAACATGTGATTGGGCTGTGGCGGCCAAGAACTCAGCTGCTGGATGCAGCAAGTTCCAGGGCTTGACACAGCTGGTGCTTTGGAACATGAATGGATTATTTTCCATTTCATATATGGGATGTCATCCTTCCCATTGACGAACTCATATTTTTCAAGATGGTTAAAACATGTTAAAACCACCAACCAGATATAGTTTTGTGTGATAAGCCTTCGTTTTTTGAGAGAGTCTTCGTCATAAAACTGAGTGTGACACAGCTGGATGCTGAAGGGACCACCCCAAAGGGGGTCAGGAGCAAAAGACATTGCCATGAAAAATGCCGAGTTGATTTTGCCCCAGAGTTTTACATGTTTTACCTGGGTTTATTTTCGGCACTATGAACTAAGCCATATGGAAATCTATGACCTGACCCTAAGCCTCAATGGATTGGTTTAAGGGAAAATTTTAACCGGAAAGCCCCATGATCTTAATGGGAAAATCTATGGTTTCCGGTTAAGATTTTCCCTTGAAAACCAATCCATTGAAAGCCACAGTAATCGTAGGCTACACCTTTTGCATCAGCCGAGCCGCCGAGGAACTACACCAACTTCGGCGTCTTTGAGCTCTATAGCGCCCAGTCCTCGGTGAAAACATCAATTTTCCACAGCCACTTTGGGGTCAGCTCGTTGGATATCCCCAACTTTGCGAGCATTCGGAGATGCTAATTCATGTTAATTAATCCTATCACATTTCCATATATACATTATATATATATACATATTATATGATTATATAAATTATATATGATATTACATGTATATATATATATGTACGCACTTAATATGCGTATCATATTCATATCTCACATTAAAAAAAGGTGTATCGATGGCTAAGGACAACTCCCTCTCCAACTCCATGGCGCTGGCCCTTCGCATGTGCTGCTCGGAAGCAGGCCTTGAAAAAAGGCCTTGGTGGAGATGGGGATTCCCCCGGGTTGTAGTTGGCTGGTGGAGGTACCATGGGAAAACTATAGGAAAACCATAGGAAAATGGTGGTTTCATGGGATTTAATGGATGATTAGCCTCTGGTAAACATACAAAAAGCTATTGAGAATGGCCATAGAAATAGTGGATTTTCCCATTAACAATGGTGATTTTCCATAGTTTTTTGTATGTTTACCAGAGGGTACCCTATGGTCATCAAAACAATGATGGTGTTCCTATTATTGTTACTATGATTACAGATAGTTATAGTTAACTAGTAGCTTTATGTACTATGGATACTGATAGCTATAACTAAAGTGAACTATCAATGGATTGGTTTAAGGGAAAAAATAGAGGAAAACACCATGGTCTTAATGGATTCAATGGGAAAATCAATGGTTTCCCGTTAAGATTTTCCCTTGAAAACCAATCCATTGAATATTAATTAATGGATTGTTAGTAGAACCCCCCAAACTAACGGTTTTGGTATAATCTAGCTAAATTCTAACAGTCGTAAAGGATTTTCACGGGTTCTCAAGACGCCTCAGTAATTCTCAGTAACTACAAATATTCCCAATATAAATAGAATAGCTGGTTATTAAATGGATTTAGTACACTCCCCCAAAATGGATTAGTATCCCTAATATACTAATTAATTGACTCTTAGTAGAATCCCCAAACTAATGGATTTAGTATAATCCCAATTGTTACAATCCCCAATTTGTAAAGGTTGGTCCCCGAACTCATCATGAATTAACCAATGCAGGTTTTGAACACTGCTGAATTGCAGTATAAAGGGATAATGGTTGAGATATTTTCAATGGTGCCTAATATACTAATATGTTGGGCTTATACTGGGATACTTAGGGGGAAGGGATTCACAAAATGCTTGACCTCCCATTTTTTAAATCACACCAGCCCTGAACATATTCCCCAGGACACCGCTGATTCAAAATCAATGGCCATGACAGGTACCTAAATTGGAGGTACCGACCATGTGTAAGGCCTATGTAATATCCGCACAAAATATAGCCTAGCCGCCTAGCCAAAACTATGGTACAGTACCTCCATTTTAGGATCCTGACATTTCCGCTACGATATCTTTTTGGGGCGCAATTCAAATGCCCCCAGTTCGGGTGTGCATTTGTTGTGGCACATGCCTAGATGATGGGTCAAATCCTGGTGGGCTGTGGTTGGAAACTGCGCAGCATCCAAAATGTCATGGATTCTGGCTCAGAGGGTAGGGGTTTCTTAAGTCATGGGGGATCCCCAGTCGTCACCATGGGTTTCAATACGAATATGGTCATCCATGACTGGATGATTTGGTCAATGGCCATTTCAGGAACCTAAATTGGAGGTACCTACCATATATAATGTCTATTTTTCAGGCCTATGTAAGGGAATATCCCCAGAAAATCTATATAAGGCCTATGTAAGGGAATATCCCCAGAAAATCTATATAAGGCCTATGTAAGGGAATATCCCCAGAAAATATGGCCTTATATGGTACAGTACCTCCATTTTAGGATCCTGAAGATCTCCCATTGATTTGGGGGGTACTCCCATGACTGGATGGACACCTCCATGACTGGACCATTTTCTGGACCCATGAGTTTCATCTGAGGCTTGGCCATTCCATTGCAGGACAGGGAAGCTGAGATGTGCTCTGCAAAACCACTCGAAACACATCTTAACACCCCAAACGTTGGGGGGTTGAGAAAACCATGGCAATTCTGGATCTTTTCACTTCTCAAAGGAATCCTTTCAAGCGTTCCCCAGGACTGTTTTTTTGGGTTCTCTCACCGGACTGACCCAATGACTGGACCCTCTATAATCATCAACCAACCATTATTTCTATTTTTTTTTGGTTGTTTGAAACATTGTGTGTTTTTGACCCCACGACTGGGACGATAGTCCCAATATTTCCTCGGATGGCTCCCTCACCGGCTTGGCCAACTCATCGGGTGACTGGCCAGGAGCTCAATGCGTATCTGAAGGCTCTGAAACCCTACTATTACTTCGTGGAGTTGCTCGGCGTTCGAAAACTGCCAAGCTGCCTTGGTGTCCAAAGAAATATGGTGTTAGAATTGAATGTGACGAACGAAAGTATGATCAATTGATGCAATTCCTTCACATGCATCATGAATATGGAGGTTCCTAAAATGAGGGTACTGTACCCCCAAATCATCAATTTTAATCGGATTTTCCATTGTAAACCATCCAGCTATTGGGGTACCCCCATTGTAGGAAACCTCAGGTCACACAGCCGAAGTTGCACCCAGCTGTGTTGATTCTCCATTGAAATCTCCGAGGCTTGCCACGCGTGGCCATATGCCCAAGGTGCCCCATGGGCCCCATGGGCCCCATGGGCCCCATGGGACCCATAGTTACTGTAGATATCAGAAAGCTCCTACTGGTGGGTTGACTTAAAAGGATTGGTTTCACCTCCCATTTTTTCAATCATTCCAGGTACGTGTTGGCAGATTCTTTTGCCCAAACCGGTCCAAAAGTTATTTTTTCCCCTTTCACGACATCATCAGTCGATGGACCCCGTGTTATTGTTGGTGAACCCCCCATTGTATATATATATATGGGTATGGATCAATACCTATCAATACCATTTTTAGGGGAATGAACATCCATTTGCCAGCTATTTTGATGTTCACCAGGGGTACAAGGTTTTGACACACTGCCATATATGTACATATATATACATACATATATATATATATATTATATATATATGGGTATAGTCTGATTAAGAGCTCTTTGCAGTGGAATGGACGGCTCTCATTGGGGGCTCTTAACCAGACTATCCCGATATATATATATATATGTATCGTTCTTCATGGTCCTTTCCCCAACGCCCCTTGGGTAGGGGTATCGTTTTGCTTGAGTCCTGGTTGTTTCGGAGGTGATGGAACTCGATTCCGGAACCTTCTCCCAGTTGATGCAAAGCGTGGAGGAAGGTGGGATTATTTTTCTTGCATCATGGGCCAATGGGGATTCGTTGGAGATATTTGGGTGGGGCTTCTGTTGCATTTCTGAGTTTTCAAAAACGATTTTTCTGCGTGCCGATGCCATGAAGTCTCACTGATTCACATGGCTTAGGAAGAGATAGAGGCCTTGACTAGATGATTTCGGGCGTTCCCGGGGAGCCTTAACCCAAGTGGACTGCGATAGCTTCCCAATCTGGAACAGAGTGTTGGCCACTGAAATTAGACAAACTTAGAATGCGTGGCTAATCCGGTCACCTGAAACAGAGTATCTTGTGGTAGGATCAACTCCCTGTGAAAGAACTATATTTTGATGAGCTGGAAGCTCTAGATATTGGCGGATATGATCTACAAACATGACACATATCCATGTCTGAAAATGGGGTATACCCCTTAGACAATTTAAATATATGGGGGAAAGAATGATAATCCATTGGAGATCATTGGAGATATTTGAATTGGGGATATCCGATTTTTCGATGAACCCCAGCGGGTCCAGGTCTGTTGTCCTTTGAGACCGGAGTGCAGATGCAAAGCTGCGCCGTGGTGGTCGCCGCCGGCATGACTTGAAGAAATCGCTTCATGTCGCTTCATTGTCTCTAAGTCTTCCAGATGAAAAAAGCGGTGTCAAGATGGAGAGATGGTCTTTTTTTTGTGTGTGAATCAACTTTTGGGTTTTCACCATAGGTCCAATGTACCAATGAAAACAACTGTTGATTTCCCATGTCGAAAAGTGTTCGCTTAAAAATCCCAGACGCTCTTTTTTTGGCATGCCAGAAAATCCTCAAGTTGAGAAGTCACGGAGGTGTGGAGAGAACTCGCCAGGACAATGTGATCTCCTATTTCCACTCTCAACTCACTGGCAAGAGCACTCCCGAGCAGGCGCCTGGTTCAACCCAGCAGTGTAGATATTTTTTTCAGGTTTCCTAAAGTCGGGGGTACCCCAAAATCTTCCGAAAAATTGGACGATTTTAGTCTTGAAACAACCATAGTGACTTGGGGAGCCCCATTTTCAGACAGACCGAAATGAAAATGCTTTTCATTTTCATCCGGATTGTGGAATGTTGATTCTCGAAACGAGCCCGGAAACTTGCAGGTTGAAAAGTTGAAAAGTTGACACCAAGAATCCAGAACAAGTTTTAGGTACAGTACATAAAACAATTGCTTGGTTTCCCTCTGAATTTTACCTTCAACCGGTTCCAACTACTGAAAAAAGAGTGCACTGACCTTGGCCACCAGACTGGTCGGGCCCCGTCGTTGGGGTCGCTGTTTTTTTTTTGGAGGACCGAGTGCGGCGTTTCTTGCAGGAGGTGGGTGGGATCAGTGATAATATGGGAATGGCTTTTGAGGAAGCTTCATCTTTTGAGCTGAGGGATTTGAAGAGAACTTGATACCGCTGTATATCTTGAAAGTCCAACAGCTATTGAAACCGCAAGTGTTTCGTGGCATGAACAATGAATACATGCCTGAAAGGATTGGGGACACCTGTGTCATCCCCAAACTGCCACAAGCTCTGGTTGAAGGCGCCGCAGTGTCTGCAGAAAATCCTCCATTTGATGTTCCAGCTGGTGATGACAGGCTGGAACGAGCTGAGGAATTGGGGCAGCTATGGCATGGACAGCTAATCCATCAATCTGTTTCCAAAAAAGATTCCAAAAAAAGTGGGGAAGATCCTGTATAATCTGTATAGAAATGGGAGGATTTTTTTAAATGCCCAGTTTCCTACTCAGAAATGGGAGGACTTTTTGTTGTTGGGTACCTTGCAGCCTTGGCTTCGCTCGTTACAGGCGAGTTCAGTTCCATGTGGTCGATCAGTCGACCCTTGTGGGGCCGGCAAGGGGGCAGCGGATGGCAGCGGGGCGATTGGCGATTTTGGGGTCGAACTTTGATTTCTGGTCTGAGTGGAACTACATGGAACTACATGGAACTACTGAACTTAGATATTTCATTCCGCTTTCCGACAATTTATAGGGAGTGAATTGGTGATCTGAGTAGGTAGCCTTTGAGGTTGGGACTCATCTTGCTGCACGATCAGCACTACTTGCAGCTGAAGGCAGGGGGAGAGCTGCCAAAACTGCAGCGCAGATTCAGTGCAACTCTTGAAACAGAGGCCTCAAAAGTCGACCCAATTTTTGGGTAAAATCTCAAGTGTTGATGGGTGAAATCTGTTTGTTTTTTTTTACTCAATGCCTATTTCGCCTATTATCTTCATCGCCAGTGGATCAGTCGCCGCCCATCTTCGGTTCACAGGAACAGCTCATCAACCAGCAGATCGAAGAAAAGCGCGCCAAGCTTCGCAGTTATTTCGACGTCGGGGCGCGAAGATGTTGGTTGGGTCGCAGCATGGGAGACGGCTGCGCGGCTGTGCGCCCTGAAACAGACGCAGTTTTGCAGGGGTTGGTAACTGTCCCATTTTGGGAATATTGGACATCACCTTATAGTAGCCATTATAGACCATATACCTAATGGTTGGGTGATGTTCAATGGGGACATTTAATGACCCATGTTTTGATGAATGATGCACAATGGGATTATGTAAGGTCTAGCCAATTTTCAGGCCCAAGTGGGCCTGGAAGTTTTGGTGAGGTGGATGATGGCAAGGATAGGAATGGGATGAATGGGATTCTACTCCCAGGATCTGTTTAAGTCATGCCTTTGTAGATGGGAAAGCTGAATCTGGGTCCGAGGACCTAATGACGGGCGTGGAGAATAGCATGAACACCAAGAACAAGGCCTGCCCTGTGCTTCACAACTTAGACGACCAGAGTCCACTTTCTTTGCTGGGATGCTGCCCTGAGCATAATTGGTGGTTCACCCCACCCAGCAACTCGCTAATTACCCTCTGGTTATTTAGCATAGCCATGGAAAATGGCCCATTTATAGATGGTTTACCTATTAAAAATGGTGATTTTCTATAGCTATCTTAAATAACCAAATGGTATTAGGTTATACAATCCACTTATACAAAGGAGAAGCCACGAATCGAACACTTTCCAACCAAGGTGACCTCTGTAGAAAAACGATCAGTGCAATGATCCTCCCAGTATGGCAGGGGATTCACTAATCCCAACTTGAGCCATTAAACATCTAAGTATATCTAAGTATATCCAAGTATACTATTGGGAGGGTAGACTACCTTCTTGGGGATTACTATGACTCAGAAAATTCGGCAAAAACCAGTCGAAAACCCATCAACCCAATGAGTCCAACCAGACCCTCGCCACGACACTCGGAGACAGGATCACTTCACGCGAAATCTCTACAACTTTGCGCAGGTGGCAGCGCTCCCAGCGACCAGTTGACCCTGGAAAAAACCCTGGTGCAGATATGATCCTCAGGGATCCTCCATAAATCCTAGGCGAAATCCGTGGTAGATACCAAGTTAGCCTAAGTTAGCCTAAGGGGTTCTTGATCTACACGGCTTTAGCAGGCTTTAGCTAAGGGCTTATCATGACTTTCAGCCATCCAGGTTTCGCGACAGTTTTCAGCCCCGGAACCTGGCCATGATCCACCAGACATGTAGATGACCAGATGACCTTTTTTTTTGATCATTTCCTAACGGTGGATCTTCCAGAACATGATTTAGACAATTTCTGGAACATCCGAAAATCCGTGAACTTTCCACCATTTAACCACCATTTCCACCATTTCCTATGAAGAAAAGCGTATTTTTTTCCATAGCTACTAATATCTTCCAATGCTGAATCTTCCCCTGGCACCTGAGGTTCGCACGTTGTCTTGATCGTAGGAGGCTCGGACCGCGGAACTTCTGGGTCAAAATTGAAGGTCCATGTGTGTTCTGTATGAACATTTTCTGGTGGTTTGGAACATGGCTTTTATATGGCTTTTATGACTTTCCATCTATTGGGAATGGAAAATCATCCCAATTGACGAACTCATATTTTTCAGATTGAAACCACCAACCAGTTTTGATACATTTTGTCATTTTGTTCCGATCCCAATTTCGAAACATATGCGTGCTGTGGGTGGATTTGCAGGAGGGAATTAGCACAGCAACGGGATTTTCTAAAAAGGCTCGTTTGATGTGGCAGATGTCCCCAGATTGGAAGGACAATGTTATACCTGAGATACCGCTACCCAAATATTGATTTGGAAGTGTCCCCAAAACTATGGAGCACTGCAACATCAATTCACGTGCTCTATTTCTGTCCGGAAAATGCATGATTTTGGTGTAGCTACCCTACAGGAAGGCCCTGCAGTTGTAGCTTGGTTTATAACCCCATCCAATTACATGTAGATATATCTACCATAACTCCTAGTTAGACTACTTATCAATCAACTTATCAGTACCTAGATAGATAGATAAAATAAGATAAGATAAGATAAGATGCGATAGATAGCTAGCTAAGATAGATAGATAGATAGATAGATAGATAGATAGATAGATAGATAGATAGATAGATAGATAGATAGATAGATAAGATAGATAAGATAGATAAGATATATAAGATAGATAAGATAGATAAGATAGATAGGATAGATAAGATAGATAACATAGATAAGATAGATAAGATAGATAAGATAGATAAGATAGATAAGATAGATAAGATAGATAAGATAGATAAGATAGATAAGATAGATAAGATAGATAGATAAGATAGATAAGATAGATAAGATAGATAAGATAGATAAGATAGATAAGATAGATAAGATAGATAAGATAGATAAGATAGATAAGATAGATAAGATAGATAAGATAGATAAGATAGATAAGATAGATAAGATAGATAGATAGATAGATAGATAGATAGATAGATAGATAGATAGATTAGATACGATAGATAGCTAGCTAGCTAGCTAGCTAGCTAGCTAGCTTGATTAGATAGATGGATAGATGGATGGATGGATGGATGGATATCTACTATCTACTATGATAATATGAGTACCTAGTTACCTAGTTAGAATACTTGTAACCCCTAGTTGGACTACCTTATCTAAGGATTGAGGCCCCTTCAGCCATCCGGACAGGAAATTGACCGCAGCCGCCCAAAGAGACGCAGATTTGCGCTGCGCAGCGGCGAAGATTTATGTGGTACTGGACGCTCGTGTGGCATCGTTAAACCATGCCATGAATTTAAGGGAAACATGATCCATATCATATAGCGTACCTGTAAGTACTCATATTATGTCTCACACACACACAAAATGACATAATATACGTATAGATACATATGAATGTTAATGATACATAATTACCTACTAACATGACATAACACAACATAACATAGCATAACATAACATAATATTTCAAGCAAGATATCATAACATTGTTATATGACATGACAGTAGCCATTCCGTTCTATTCCATACACACAATGATAGGTCGATTCTTGGGAGTGATCGACTTGGCCAGGCCTTGTCATCACCTACTGTAGGTATTGGACAGGCTTGCCTCGCAGCGGCCAGCGATGTTTGTGAATTGATCTTCGTGAATTGACTTGTTCATGTGTAAAATTGGAAGTGCCATCAAGACTCAACTCTCAAGTTTTTTAAAATGCATCTAAACTCAGTTTCAAGATCACTACGAAGTTGATATTTCAGAAGGGTGGCCACCTTGAAAGGGTTTGGCCCCCTTGAGCTCTGATCAAATCTAAGGATTTTCATTTCGCTGTGTTCTAGTCTCCGAAAAAAAAATCTGCGAAAAAGGGGTTTCCAAGGTTAAGAAAACAGCAACGGGGGTTACCTATAGTATCCTATAGTCATGGGAATCATATGGACATATATACTATATGATTGGCCTATATATGTCATAGGGGTCACAAATTCAAATTCCCATGGCAAATTCTACGTCCAGTACCAGGGTTTTCCGCCGTGCGCTGGTGTAGAATTGGCTGCACTGTGCCATCCATGGCTCCGAAAAATTCAGAAGGTGGCTGCAGCCGCCGAGGCCGTGTACCTCAGAGAAGCAGGGACGGAAAAGGCTTCCCTTTTTGGAATTCTTGTATGGGGATCTATCTCGGGGACCACAGGAGCTCCAACGATTCAAAAATGGTGACTTCGAGGTGAAAACATGGCAACATGGCAGCAAACAGCATCCTACAGGGTGAACAGACAGGTCCAATTTTGTCCTTTTCTCGAGGAAGATCATTTAGAGTATATTCAGAGGGTCATTTGCGTTCGGCGTAGGGGACCACATAGCACCCCCCCATCGAGGCAAACCGGTCGTTTGAATGCCTTGCCGACGTGCTTCGACTGCGGTTTTGGAAAACCTGTCTCAGCCAGAGACCGAAAAAAAGTCGCCGAAAAACTCTGCGGCGCGAGGGGTCATGGTCAAACAAAAAGTAACCAAAGCCATTCATATGGCCATCAAATGCCATAAATAGGTGGTATTAAACATGTATAAACCGTCCCCAAATGGTAGGTTTATGGCAGTGAAGGTCACCCGAGCTTCGATAGCTGCGATTTTTGTTGTGACAGGTCTGCAGACATCTGGAACGGCTTTATCAGCATACGGTAGGGGGACACAGTGATCAGATCTAGAGGATGCAGGATACAACAGCTGTGAAACATCAAGATGCAACAGCTGTGAAACCACCAAAAAACCATCAAACACCTACTTCAATCGGCATGCCAGCTGGGTCAGCGGCCCTTGTTTTTCTTTGGACTATATATAATATATATATATATATATTATATATATTATATATATATTATATATATATATACAGAGTAGCTTTCTGGGACCTAAATCGACCATTTTTTGTTTTTCAATGTCTGAAACCATTCGCTGCACCAGAAAAAAATGCTGCCCCATCTACCAGCTTAAGGTGACCACTGAAACGACCGGCGAGGCGAAGGTGCGACTGATGCCCTTCATGTTGGAAGGAAGGATGGCATTCCCAAGGAACGATGGTTACTTGGGGGTTATAAGTGGAGTTAAGCGATTGTGGGTAAATGGTTCATACTGGTTGAGAATGGTTGTGGAGATTTTCTTGGTGGTCGTTTGTAAATCCAAGACTTGGTTTGGGGAATTCTACAGGAAAGTAACCATATTTGGTCTTGAAAAACAGGATTTCCAGTACAGTTCGACAAACAAAAAACCTTGGAGAATCTATCCAATGAAGTATGGAATCCAGCCAAGGAGTTTGGGGGTTGATATATCCACAATCCTATAGTTATACTTCCCACGGGCGAATACATCCCCAATTGGTTACTATTTCACACTCATAATGACTATAGTTGGTTAACTAACCCATACATCCCCACCTACATAGCTTATAAATGCTTATAGCTATTCAATGGAGTTGCCTCAAAAGTTGGAACCAGAAAATCTATTGGTTTATGAAAAGTTGGGCCCTAAAACCATGGCAATAAAATGGGGTTCCAGTACTCTTTGGAGACCCAGATCATATTTGTTGTATATCCCATTGTCTGCCCATTATATCCCCACTATATCACCATTATCCACCCATTATACCATATCCATAAAAAACATCTGGAGGTTTCTTAAAATGGGATATGTTTCAGTACATGGTCTAACATATCGATGATTTGGGGGTACCCCATTCGAACCTGGGTTCGACTTGACGGTGCTGGCAGATCGCTGTGCTGGGACTTTTAGGGCGGGAGCTGGTTGAAGGAACCGCGCGGGGGTCACCCAGCACACCCGCTGTTGGATCAAGCGATTTGACTGCAACGATCGTAGTTGGATCAGGTTGGATCACATGTGTAGTTCTTCGTCTTTCTTGATTGATGCATACATGATGATGCATACATTTACATTATGTGTGTAGAAACCTTATGCCCACTTGGTGGTCTTTAATCCTACTTACTTTTTGTAGCTTCTATCCCTGGTTTGGGATACGTGGGATACGTGGTAAGTGGTAGGTTAGTCCACTTATAACTAGGTTGAACTAACTGCTACCCAGTTCAGCGGGATCAGCCACCCGATCTTCTGACCGAGTATCGAGGTTGGCCCTTCTCTTTGCATTGTTCGCGCCCAAAGCTGGCGTCGCTTGGCTTCTTGTGCCTCCCCTTTGTTGCGGGAAAGGTGATGAACACGGCCGCAATAAACAATCAATCTCTATGATTTGGATTTATTTGGGTCATCTGGTCAGGGGTTGGCTGAATTTCCGCAATGATGTGGTGAAGCTGAGTTGTTGAAGATTCGGGCTTGACAGCTCTAACCTCTCTTGAAGCCACCCCTCCCGACTCTCCAGCTGGATCGTTGGGCCTCCCAATATCTTTGGAACAGAAAGCTTGCTATTTAGCAACTGCAATGTGGGGCCCCCCAGTTATAAGATGGTTTATAAACCCCATTAACTATAGTTATAGGTACCATAAACCATAGTTATTGGAGTTATAAACCATCTAGGGGCCCCACTTTGTGCCAATTAAACCCTCCACATATGGGTTAGAAGTTGACCCCAAGTCATGTCATATCATGTCTTAACAGCTGGATTTGTGAGACAATTCTGGGCCCCAGAATTGGATGATGGGGAAATTCCAAGCGGAACCCCCCAAAAGTTGATGGTAAAATCATCAAATCCCCATGGTTTTCTCAAGATGTTCCCCTTGAACCCATCGAATCCGCACATTGTTACTGGAAAAATCCGACCACTTTCTGAACTTTTCAGCATCGAATCCCTATTGCAATCCATCCTTCAGGGGTGACATCCTACATCTGATGAGCTTTTCATCGTCAAATCCCTTTTGTCATCAACTTTTCATGGTTAAATCAGTTCAATCCTGGCTTTTGGCAATTTCTGATGGTTAAATTCT